AAATCTAACTGCTCATTTTAAATCAGTACTTTGACTTTTAATACTTAACTACAACAAATATCACATACTTTAAGACTGTGTTGTTACAAAATACAAAAACAACGAGTCAGGTTCAGGGTACTGAGTGCAGCTGCAGTGCACATATCTTAAACTGTATTTCAGTAGTGTCACTAGGGATCTTATTGCCAAACTGAGCTGGTTTTTACTAAGTATTGTATGTTTTAGTCAAAGTTTAGCAGAAGTAATGTGTGTTTGTGTCACTTTAAAGTATTATTTATGCATTGTAAAGCTGTTTTGAGCGGTCCCTTCAGCTGAACTGAAGCTTCAGCTTGTCTCAGCGGGTCACAGAGGAACTCCCTGCAGGCTTTTTGTCCACTCTAAGCCTTTATGGCAGGATGAAGGTGGGCCACAGCTGTGTCAGGATGCTGGTGTAGATAAGTGACTTCTCCATTAGCAGCTGTCATTCTTCAGGCTCCTAAAACAGGAAGACTGAGAGAAACAAAGACAATGGCCACTAAAACAATTATTTTCAGCTCCAGGATTTCAAAGTTCAAAAGAAAAGGTCACACTGGTCTGAGTACACAGCACATGTTTTCTTCGTAATGCATATTCCCCCACAACAACCCAAAAAATGCTTATATATAATGGAATCTCTTATAATTTGGGTGAATTGTGAATGTGTTTGTTTTTATCCTTCCTCCAGGCAAAGCAGCAGAAGCTGACTGAGGATCACTCAGCTGTCAGCAGCGTCCTGGACACAGGCCGAAGTTTGATCTCTGAAAGTGACAGGACCGTGGCTCAGGTGGACTCCATGATGAAGGTGAGGCCGTTACCACAGAAATAAAACTCTTTAAACTGCCTAAAGATGCTAGAAAGTAGGATATATTTAGTGTGTGTGTATCTGAGCTCATCCTCTGAACTTTACCTGATACAGCAGAGAATTTATGGGTTAAAAGCAGTGGTGGGCACCAGCCCACTAAAGCACAAATCCACTAATTGTGGACCTAAATATTTCTTTTGCACTTCAGCGGTCTTACTAATTTTATAAATCATAAGCAGATTTGTACTTTCTAAAATTAAGACGCAGTACCACTAATAACTAATTATCTA